ACTGTTACAGGACATACAGTGCAAACCATGTATTTCAGCTGAACAAAGCTGTTGGAACAGGTGAAATTTTCAAGTAAGACGCAACAAAGTTAATTTTGATTGATTCTGCTTGGTGATCCTGCTTAGTCTCCAGCTGATTCTGTGGGATATACCCAGAGTATCCTGGGGTTTTCATCCCACTTCTAAATGTGTAACTGCTTCTCAGTCTCCTTTTTACAGGTGTCTTCAGGCTTTGAGTCGGTCACACTTTACGTTTCAAGATTTTCCCCTTGTCCGTAAGTTAGGCTGTGTTTTCTGAGACAGATAAGACCTGTATATATCTCAGCTTCGAAAATTCTGCGGCGAAACAGGGTAGCCGTGCAGACTTGTGTTTAGTCTGGGTCATTAATAATTCATGCACGCGTAAATCATGCGCTAAACATGCACTCAGCAACCAATCAGAAGTGCGCATTACCTTACGTCTGGGCGCTGGCTGCGTGGGTTGCCAGGACTTGTTAAGATGGCAGCGTGCTAACAAGAGCTCTGTGGAGTTGTGGCGTATACTGAGTTGAATATGTTAAATCTGACGTACAACCACGTTGATCAGACCCCATTTAGAGTATTGTACAGTTACTGTTAACTCTATCTCCACTTACCAGGAAACCAGGATTGAAAGGGTTCAGCGGCAATTTCTTGATTTTATGCATAAGACTCTCAATGGTTACAACAGCAATGTTCCTAAATATCTTGATCTTAGTGACCAGTACAAATTATCACCACTTTCTGTAAGGCGTACTGTTACTGACTGTCTTTTTCTATATAAACACTTTCACAATCATTATAGTTTGACCGATGCTAACCCTTTTAGTTTACGGGTGCCTGTACGACAGACAAGGATTGGTGACAAGCGCATCTTGCATGTCCCATGGAGTCGCGTTGAGGTCACAAAGCGAAGCTTTGTCTGTAGAATCTCTTCTACCTACAATGCACTCCATGGGAGATGTGATGTGTTCGGTGTTACAGGCCTTGCAAGTTTCCGGACTCAGATTTACTGTGCAATTAATTATTCAGCTTGATTTTTATTACGGACTCAAGTTTTTCCTCAGCATATGAATTATGATTTGTACTTTTTAACTTTTTAAAACTTTTTTATGAAACCTGTAAGAATTGAAAACTTTACTTTTTATCGCAATCAGAGTTAGTTGTTGTCTTATGTGTTTATATTTATTTTCAATACCTAACCTGTAAATGGCGATTTGTTTGCTGTTGGTTATGGAAACAAAATAAATAAAAATACTTGTAAAGTTAGGCCAGGTCAATTCCATCTCCAATCAGGCCAGTCTGTTGGTCCGCCACAAAAGGTGTCAGTTGTCCTGCCACACTACTATGCCTATGTTGCTTTTGATGAGTCCTTGGTTTGATTATCAGAAACATTTAACAATAATGATAACTTCACCTTTACCTTGCCAACAATATTGAAATGATGTGGCTGCTTTCAAGTTCCTGAATTCAGAGAAGGGACAGAATAATTTTGCAAACTCTTTGTAAGATGACACTGTCCAAAGGTGAAGTTTCAAAGCCCCATTTAAACAATCATCAACAACACCCTGCAAGCTCTCCAGATTTATCAATTCCAACGAGCCTGCCCTGCCGTTATTGCTCTCCAATGTTTTACACATGCATGAGCACATCATCATGTATGAGCAAGTTTTCTGGTTGCACTGACAAAGTTCTGATTCTTTTCAGAAACTTGCTCATAAACAAGATTCGGCATGCCATGTGACCGCACAATTATTCATGTTGCTTACATCAGCGAGCAAACCTTCAATTCACAGACTTACTGTGATTTACACAGACAACCAATAACAGAGTGCTGATGGCAAGCTATGCACATCCATGTATACAGTACATGTACATGCTACCCAATATTTTAAATTTACTGCAAATACAAGACGGAAACCCATTTATATGCAAATCATGTAAATGTCTTTCTGCACTGCATTGTTAAAATGCAAGACACAAAGAGGAAGCATTTAACCATGTCAGTCCCTGATGCCGTGCCGGTACATCCCCCATGGGGATGGCTATATTAGGGGTCCAAAAGAGATATTTTTGGTGTCCTCCTTACACATGATCAGTGGAATTTGACTTTGAAATATACTGGAATGGACTTCAAATGTGTATTTGTTTTTCAGGTACATGTAATGTATCTACTTAATGACTCTTGGAAATTCAACGATGTGTCTTCAACTTACAAAACCACAGATCAGACGCGACAGGGACACACAAAAGATTGGACCACTAATTCATAAAATAACGTGATTATCCGCAGGTGGGACAGTTTGCTGGTTAACGAGCAACCATGAAATGCACCGGTTACTGTAGGTCGCCTTACTACTTGCAGCACTAGAATTACATACATGTACTTTGTGTGCGCAGCCTTGTGTAATGAGGCTATAATGTACATGTATCTACCCAGAGTAATGGAGGCTCCTTTGGTGGGAGCTGCATTATGCGTTGCTAGGCTAGCATTATAATTACATGAAGCGACGTGTAATAAGACTATTGACTGGCCAGAACATGGCGTCTCTAAACACAGCTACATGCTACAGCATTTTACACGTACAATGTACATGTACACATGTGTATCACCCTACTGCAAAGTTTCCCAGCTATCAGTGCTCGTTTCTCTCTGTTGGACACCAACAACAGCAGCAGAACCGTTTTCAAAATGTGAGGGAAGGGCCGTTCGTGGGTTGAAAAGTTAGGGCCCACTGCTGTCCCCCCCCCACAGCCAGTGGAGAATAATGAATTTGACGCTTCAATTTACTGCACAGAATTCTGTTACCACTCTCTCTGTAAATGAAGGTGTATTGTGAAACTGATATCAGTAAGTACCGGTATACATTGTATTAGGGATAAATGAACATCTCTAACTTGTTCTGCTGTGTGCACATAATCTGTCTCATCTACGGTACTTTAACTGCTTATTTCTTATTTATTCACATCTGAAGTTCAAGTACTGTACATGTACATGTCATTGTATATGTACCATGCATGCAAATTAATTTTGATAGCCATACAGTCCCAAATACTCCGAAATCAATATGATTTACATTGTACATATATAGACCCTAGGGGGTTAGGTTTAATTTAATTTTTAATTTAAATAGTGTCAACTATTTAAACTCTTAGTTCCTACTGAACGCTGTGTTTCTAGTCTAAGACTACCATTTGCATGCCATTTCATAACTTCAGCTAATTCCTTTTCACAAAGATCCAAAACAGCAGAGGTTAAACTTCATTTTTAAAAAATTACATCCTACAAAGTCTGTGTCGGGCAATGTTTAAATATTTATGTTAATTCAGCGAGAGACAATTACAAAACTTAAGGCTGTGTCAGAATGACAGGACATGGCTTGAAATTACACACAAGTCTATGGTCAGTGGCTGCAGCCACTCCCCATAAAGCTGTGTGCAATTTGAAGCCACAGCCAAGTAATTTGGGCAAGCCCTACACGTTTGTTAAAAAAAATGGCGGTCAAGAAAATATGTAGAAGAAACCTTGGCCTTAAAAATCTGTCCAAACAAAATTTGCTCTGGTCACTTCTGACAAAATCAAATCCAACAAAATTTTTAAAATATGAAGGCTCCACTTTGCCATACTTTTGAGTTTAAGCTGTACAACATGTACAGTACATGTAACTTCATTTTGGGTTTTAACAAGTTCCAGTCTGGAAAAGTGCAAACAAGCACAGTTTGGACTTTATTTTACAAATTTTAAGTATGTTTCCAATTCCTTTTTCTGAGGAAACGTACTGGTTCATGATAAATGCAAGCTTACATGTGTCTCTAATCAGGACTTAAACTTTGCTGGTTTGTTTTCTGGGCTCTGGTACTTCATAAAAGTCGTCATATTGAAGAGGTCATACATCTATGTTCTGATACACGTCAGATTGGTCCACTGCAACAGTGCATGCAGGAGTGTATCTCACACCCAGCTTGGTGTCATGGCTGGCTTTATTTCTAGGAGTGTCACCCATATTTCTGGGAGTGTTACCCCTCTTTCGAATTTTCCTCCAGACAGCGAGGCTGACCAATGATGTGACAACAACTCCGGCAAGGAAACAGCAAGCAGCTACCCAGGCAAAGTCCTTCATCCCCAGTCCACAGGCTTGCTGAGACTCAACAGTTGGTGACTCTGAAGCCTGCTCAAATGCAAGAACCTTCAACACTGACCAGGAACTTTGTTTACGACAGTCCATCTCATACCAAACTTGACAACTTATCTTGGTGCCGTCGTCTTCAGCCAACACGGGCGACACTGTCAGAATTTTTCTTGAAGCATCCAACTGGAACCTCCCTGCAGTACCATTAATCTTCAAGCGTTCTTTAGAATATTTTGATAGATTTTTCCAGAAGAAGCGGCTTGACTTTGTCTCACCTTCAGTGCTGCAGTTAAAAATGGCCTTTCCACCCACAGCAACGTAAGCCAACTCAGGGGACAGAAACACAGCCATTTTGAGAGGCACGACAGAGCATCGTGCATCATCAGGATTCTCAAACACATCAGAGGGTTCAGCATCACACCTGAATCGTCTACAATTATCCTCCTTCTGAAGAACCCTTGTCACTGTGTAAGAATGATGCTGGCTAGGTGTAATATACAGCTTACCTCTAAACAACACATCCCCTGGATGGGACCAGGTAAGGGCCCTCACCATACCCTCACTGCCGACTGGGGGGGTGCAAGTCAAGACAACTAGGTCTCCAACATGGTGCTGCTCTTTCAAGTGACTAGTGACTTCACATTGTGGTGGATCTCTTAGACGCAAGGAAGTAAGGTTGGGAGTTGCTTTGCTGACGCTGAGCCTGGCTGCTGGTGAAGCATAGCCCAAATCAATTCCTTCAACATCTGACTGTATCCGACAGAAAAACTGACCACTCTCAATGGTTGATACAGTACTAATGTGGAGGTCTTTTCCATTGTCTGTGGAAGAGGTCACCGTGAACTTCTCAACAAATTGTGGAGTGACATCTTCATCATTGCTAATGGCAACTGGTTGTTCAGGGAAGACCTGATAAAACCACTGTATAAATCTGTGTTGAAACAAATATTGGTAGTGTCGGTGTGGATAGAACCTGGAATATGAACAATTACAGGTTAATGTAACATTGCTACCCTCAGCCACAAGCTGATCCGTGGGACCGCTACAAAACAACATCCTTGCAGACCTTGCCCGAGATGATGGCAAATCAGATACCATCACAGCAACCACAACCAGGCCAGCTAAGACCGAGGAGAGCTTCATTGTCTTGGTATAGTCAGTGTGCAAATGGAATAAGTGCCTTGTGTTCCATACCATTTAAAGCCAAAATGGTTGGCAATCTGCCAAAGCTAAACACAAATCAACACTTTGGTGCAGATTATTAGTTCCGTGATTGTTTTTACCCAAGTGAGAATTTTTTAATGAGAATGTATTTCCTTATTTCATTACATGTAGTTTCAACAAAATGCTTCCTTTATTCATACATTTGTACCTCGTAAGAGTAGGATCATTATACAAAGCTATTGAACATGTTGACAATGTCATCAGAAAGACAGAAACCCACCAAATTCTTACGGTCCAACAAGAACATTTGTTCGTGAGACCAATCAAGTCTGCATACATGTGTTTGTACATGGACTGGCACATGGATCCATTTTTCCTCCTTTCAAATCTTGAACAGAACCAAGTTCTTGAAATCAACATACAAGTATATTTCCTCACTTGGCAGAATTCCAAGATAGATTTGAGGCAATTAGAATTGGTATCTAAGATCCTAAATCCTACAACCTTGTTTGCATGACTGTGATGGGTTCAGTACCTGTAACATACATGTTGCAAACATTACAACGGCATGGCTACATGTACATGTAATTGACCCAATTTTGGTTAAAGCGTAAAGAATTAATCTTGTTAAAAATGGCCATGGGTTCACGATCAAGTCAAGTTTCAAATTCTTACAATTTCAATTGTACCAGTACCACTCAACGGAATCCGTTTCAAATTTTGTGCAAGCATTTTCAAAATTTTACATCATTGAAGTACATTAAAACCACATCAAGGTCTCAAAACCTGGGGTTTTTACAGACATCCTTATAATCTGGGAGAGATCTGGTGTAATGTACATGTTCTGATTAACTGAAGGAGTCTTCATTAGCAGGCATCTTCACTTCAGCAGAATATGCAGGGATGTGGCTGGAAACTTGTGGGGTGTCAGTGGGGTCCACATTTCTGTTAAAGGCACCCCCTTCTGAGTTTCACCGATGAACAAGGACAGCCAACGAGAAGACAGCAACCCTAAGCCCATGCTACTGGTACAGTTTGATTTCCCAATTTAAGATGGTGTATGCTTTGCATGAATTTGAGAACAACTTAACATCTGGAAGCCTGTTGTTTAATTTTTGTCGGCATTTCATACACATCGTCATTTTGTGGAGGTCCAACATGTAAGTCCATGTCCTGATACAAATCAGATGAGTCCTCATCACCTGATTGGTCCACTTCAAGTCTGCATGCATATCTCACAGCTTTCTCTGTGGCACTGGTTCCTGCACATCTGGGAGGAGTACCACGACTATTTCTGAGTGCCATCCCTCTTTCGAGTTTTCTTCCACACGGTGAGGACAACGAGTGAGGTGATGGTAATTCCAGCAACGAAACAGCAGACAACTATAACGACGACATTCCGAAACCCAAGCTGAGAGAACTGCAATAGTTGAGCACTTGTGGTTGGTGTTAGTGTAATATACAGCTTACCTCCAAACAACACATCCCCTAGATGGGACACTGCCGACTGGGGGTGTGCAAGTCAAGACAACCAGGTTTCCAGCATGGTGTTGCTCTTTTAAGGGACTGGTGACATCACATTGTGGTGGATCTCTTAGACGCAAGGAGGTGAAGTTTTGACTTACTTTTTGGTTTATGAGCCTGGCGGCTGGTGAAGTGTAGCCCAAAGCCATTCCTTCCACCTGTATCCGACAGAAATACTGACCACTAGCTGTCAATGGCTGACACATTACTGATGTAAAGGTCATTAATCACAACGATATCTTCTCCACGGTTGGCGGAATGTTTTACTGCAAATCTGTGGGCAAACTGCGGAACAACATCATCATCAATGCTAATGATAACTGGTTGCTCGGGGAAAATCTGGTAAGTCCACTGCATAACTCTGTATCTAAACAAAGAGCATACCAGCAGCTCCATGGGGAGCAAGTGAGGGGAGCAGGTACTAGTAAATGTGGCATTGCCACCCTCAGAAACAAGCTGATCTGAGGGGCTGCTACAAAACCCATCACCTGTCCATGCCTGCGATGGCAAAATACCAGTAGATGCCGTCACGGCAACCACTACCAAACTAGCACAGTCCGATGACAGCTTCATTGTCTCACCTCTTTAATGCTCAAGTCAGATTTCCACTCCATTAAAAACAAAAACAGTTGGCCACTTGACAAAATGTTACACACTCAATAATTTGATGACTATTTTTGTGACTGCTCCCCTGTCCTTGATTTTAAAAGATAAGAATTACTTCCTTGGTTAAAAACATGTAGCAAGGAATGTGGCACTTTAATAAAAACAGACATGTTTATAGACATATCATGCAAACTTAACCCTAACTCCCTAGGGTGTGTGCAATATCATATTAAAATTGCAGAATTCAGGACTGTTTGAGTTAAACAGTAAAATAACATGGACAACATCCTCTTTGAATATTAACCCTAACCCTCCTCAATCCTCCAACAGGTGAAGGATTCAGGAGGGTTAGGGTTAAAAACTGAAAAACTACTGCAAAAGAACAATGAACTTTAAAAAGTAAAAACTCAGTACATACATACTCACACAGCCCGGCGCAACTGTGTAATTATAAATTCCAAGAAAAACATGGAGAAGACAAGTAAATCATATCACTGTGTAACAACCACAAATGAGGAAAATTACCCAAGAGATAAACATGTAAACATGTACCCAAAACCAAAGGGTAAAACCAGCAAACAAGACTTGTCTTTGTCAAGTGGCAAACACAGAGCTGTTTGGGCAGTTTATTAGCATCAGTAAGAGTACAACAATCCACAAACCAAATTTGAAGTTCATACGTAAAGTTTTTCTCGAGTTATCATGCTGACAAGATTTCTATTATCTTCGCCACTGTGACCTGGACTTTTTACCGGTACCTGTCGGCCCCAAATGTCACAGGCTTATTAGGATCATCGATAGCAATCCAAACACCAAAGTTGAAATAGTTTTCAAGTTATCACTTTGACAAGAAGATTCCAAACCCACACACCCACAGACGAAAAAGGTGGGAAAAGTATGCCCCCTTCAACTTCGTCAGCAGGGCTCTATGATCGGAAAGAAACACATTCAAATATTAAAAACAATTAAATAATGTCTTTATAGGGTTACTTCAGATTTTATTATGAGGGAGACATATTTCAATATCTTTATTGATATCATACACACATTCGTGCACCCCATAGGTTCAAAGGAACTACTGTAGTTTTCACCCTGTCATATAAAGAGTCATTCACTTTTTTTCTGATTTTCACGAGTCATGACTGTACAACAAGGTACTCTTTTCCTTTGATCCTTCCCCCCCGGAAGAAAAACACAAGAAACTCATGATGGAACATAGTTTTCAAAGTTCATGAAAGCATGTAAGCCTTGCAAAGGTCATGAGTTCCTGCTCTTTTGAGCTTTATTTGATTGTTAAATTGAGTGAAAACTAGAACATATATACAAATCTAAATTTCTTTTCTACAGAAGTGCTTCATGATAACAGATATCCATGCCAATTACAAATTGCGCTGCTAAATTAAATAAGAAATTCAGACTATCCGAGTGCATGACTGCATTATGAATTTTTAATGATTAGCATTCTAAAGATTCTATCTCGACCCCATCATCAGATCTACATGTATCTCCCTCCCCATCCTATAATCCCATCCATCTTCAACAACG